CGAGCTCCTAAGGTTTCATGCTCTAATCTTGCCCCTGGTTCATTCCTCTGGTGATTCGAGAGCCCACAGAAGCAGGACTCTTGCTCTTGACACCTGATGAAATCCCAGCCATATTGGCACTCTGTGCCCAGGCAGCTCCCATTCTGCATATTCATGTTAGTCCTATTTCCTGAAGCATCTCAAATCCTACAGGAGCCTGGAAATGAGATTAAGGATACACATATCTTCATGAGAAGAGAACTCTACCCCTAAGCAGTAGGACTGTCTAGGCTCACTAGTGCCAAAAAGGGAAATAGAAATGTGAATGTGTGGTGGGAAGTGAGAGAGGAATGACCAAATTTGATAATCAAAGAACACCATACAGTTCGTTAGCAAATGATGGAGAGAAATGGTGAAGGGAGATAGGGGGCTGTGGGGGCTACCTACATGTAAACTATTTTTTTGTTTGTTTGGTTTGGTTACTTATTTTGTGTTATTTATTTATTTGTGTATCTATGTATTTAATTATCTATTTATCTCCTATCTATGTATCTATTTAGAGACAAGGTCCTGCTATGTTTCCCAGGCTGGTCTTAAGCTCTTTGGGTTAAGTGATCTTCCTACCTCAGTCTCCCCAGTGGCTGGGGCTACAGGTACACTGCATCCAGCATTAAATTATCTTTAATTATCTGATGAATGACTCTTGCTCATTTTATCACTTCTACCTTAGTCCCTTGGGGAGGCAGAAACCAGGGCTCCAGGTCATTCTGTACAGAAGGCAGGAGTGGAAGGATGTACCAATGGAGGCAGAGATGCCCAAGTAAGAGAGTGAGGCCCACATAATGACAAGGAGGGTTCCTGCAGATCGCTGTAGCAGGGTCCTGGGATTAAAAGTTAGACTATTAGTGGAGAGAGGAGAGGGGTGGAAGAGAGTGTGCCACATACCTGGACACTCTTCACACCTTGAGGTCTCCAGGCATAGTGATCCCAGCCAGGACTCTAGTAACTGAAGGGAAGAATATGGAAAACCGCCAAAGAAACTGCCCTCTAACCATGCCATTGTGGGACCATATTTTTTTTTCCAAAAAAATGCTTCCTATGTGAAAGAGCAGAAAGAAAAAAAGGGGGTTTGAGGAGTATGTTCTGGTTTCCCTTCACTCGGCAGGGATCATTATTACCTCTATCTAGTTTAGTGTTAGAGACTCAGATTAGGCCAGGAAGAATAAGGGAATTTTGTAAACTAGCCAGCCCAGGAACTTATCTCTGACTGGTCTGATGGTCAATTTGCAAATGACCTACAGAATCAGAGGGAGATAATGTTCTGAGGCATTCATTCCATTTAATACATTTCTCAGTCAGCTTCCCACTGTCACCTTGATACCCAAAGAAACCTGTGGCTTGTCAGCTGGAGTCTGTAGGGAGGAGTGTCCCCAGCAGGTAGTTGATAAAATGGAGTAGGATCAGGAAGAAGATAAACTGAGCCTGCAATGCCATGGGTGACAAAAGAAAGGAGAAATGTGGGTAGAAGGGAAGGGGTAACTCCTTTTCCACCTCTTCACTCTCCTCCCACCATCTTAATGCTTCTCCCAACTCCCTAGTTCCTTCCCACCAGCCTATTCCCATAAAGGAGTTCTGACCAAATAGGTGTCCTTCTCCTTTTTTGCCTCAAACTGCAAGACATTCCTCCCCATACCAGAGTGGTGGATCTCAAAATTGTAAGTATCTGGGAGTGATAAATGGGACATTTCTCATTTGTTGTCTTCTCCCACTAGTATTATCTAGTGCTCATCTCAACAAATACTCAGAATAAGTCTTGTTTCCTTCCTCTTGAAGAGCTGAGGTGTGGAGTCTCTCCCAGAAAAACCATGTAATTTCAGGTCTCCCACCACCACCCTGGGATCTGTTCCACCGGTTTCTTCACCCATATTTAGCCTGGCCTTCTCAGACAACAGCTGCTTCCTTCCACATACACATAACCCACCTCTTCTCCCACCATCTGCCCCTCCCAGCTCTGTCTAGTTCTCACTGCCACCCCTTCAGCCTCATCACCTCCACTTCAATCCCCGGGTGCCTGCCTTAGACTCCCACTTCACACCAGCCAGTGCCATGCCCAGAAAGATAGTCATGGTCATCACACCTATCAGTCACAACTTGTTTTTTTGGATCTGTGTTCGTTAGCCGTTCTGGGAGGGCAGAATACAGAGGTGATAGAGTAATTATTTGATGCTTCCATGTGATTTTTAAAATGACTTTCCCAGACTGGAGTCACAGCACAGGGTCAGACCTTCCAGGGTCAGCAGACTTGAGAGAGAAGCCCAAAGGGGGTAAGGATAGGCATTACCTGAAGCAAATCCAAAAATCTCCATGAAGCCCACTGTATGCATAGCCCCAGCTAGGGCATTGACATAGACGAAGATGCTCTGCCAAGCTCTGGACCCAGACTGTACAAGATGAGGAAATATGTGCCACCTGAGAGGAGAGGAAAGAGGAACTGGTCTGTGGTCTTGGCAATTTCTGACAAGACTGGGGTCTCTAGGGTTAACAAGGCTGCCACAGACTCACAAGCCTTAACTTTGCCATTGGTAGAGATGGCTGAGATGGTCAAGTCAGTGATAACAGTGACAGAGGCCGAGAGCAGGATAATGAGCCATGTGAGCCCTGGGGTGAGGATTGGAATAATTCACTCATGTTGTGGTCCCACACCCCTTCCCACTGCCCAGGAAGGCTCTGAGCTTATACCCATGCCCACCTGAGCAGTGATCCAAGGCAGCTGCAGGTAGAGGACAACACCCTAGACGTTAAACATACAGTGGATCTGAAGAGCAGGGTGGTGAAGGAGGAATCACAGTCTTCAGTATGAACTTTACCCCCTCCTCCCTTCTTCCTCAGTGGTACTTCTAAGAACTCCTCTGGAACAAAGTTCTCTCTCACCTGCCTAGATCCCCAAACTTTGGGAACCATGAGCTCCAATCCATTACCATGACTGCTATGATCCAGCTGAAGTGCACTGAGGTCTGACTGGGCTTGGCCCTGGAATTCTCTGGATCATCTTCTTGGGAGTGTGACTTGGAGTGAGCTCCATTGAGGTGACGGAAGTCTCGCTATTCCCTAGTCAAGACAACACAGACATGACTGATATGCCAAGACCCCTCCCTAGCCAGTGCATTTGCAGACAAGAGGTCAGTTAATGAACCTGGAGGGCAGTCCCAGGACTTTCTTGAAGGAAGGTGGTGACCCAGACAGCAGATTTTATACTTTTGAGAGTTCGCTTCAGGGCATGAGTCTCTCCAAGGCGGAGTCCCACAGAGGCTCCAGAGAAGAGCAGCTGCAGTGGTACCATCCCGGGGCTATAGAACTGGCATAGAACTCATTAGTGGGGTCTAGGGTCCCTGTCCTTTTAGGCAGGTGATGGCCAAAGGCTGGCCTGGGTTATGTCACCACCAGATTTTTGGTCCTCCACTTTCCAGTGGGGGGTCAAGATGCTGGCTATGTTGTGTTTTGGTGCAGAAAGGCCATGAGAAGAGTCCAAAATGTCTGAACTAGAAGAGGGGGTGAGAAGCTGAACATTATCTCCCCCTTTGCTGGCCAGGACAACCACGAATGCCTCTCAGTCAAAACATTTTGGGGAATGCAACTGTCAGCTAGGCTCACCCAGGGAATACTAGCTACCCAGAGTTGCTGGAGGTATCTAGACTGCAAATGGGGAGATAAAGACAGCTCTGGAAACTGAAGGGGTGCTGTGTAGGTCAGTCCACTGTCACTCTACCCTTCCTTCCATGTAAGCCCTCTTGTCTGAATTGTAAGGGACAATGGTGCCTCCTTCCCTTATTAAGTCTGCTTGCCAAATCAACCTATCCAGCCTGGAACAGACATTTTACAGGCCTGGAAGTTTGCCCCAGCAGCTCTTGGCCTGTCCCACATTTCCCAGAGAGGGAAGGGGAAGCACATCGCCACTGCCTTCTCTAAATTCTCTCCCCAAGATGACACCGTGGTAGCCCAGTTTCTAGGGGCTTCAACCAAGCATCTAGTCTTGGCATGAAAAAGAAGGTATTGTCCTGGGCAGAGGGAGTGGCCGTTGTCCCACCTCAAACAGAATACCTGCATGCCTCCAGCCCATCTAGGCCAGGGGTCCTTATCCCGGGACCAAGATGAGGGTTAGGTTTCCCCAGACTCTTCCGGAGACGTTCGGGATCTTACCACTGCCCCATCTCCAGGAAGCCTTGAGCTGATGGTGAGTCAGCTACACCCCCGGTCCCGACCCCAGCCCCTTTGCCTTCCCCCACTCCTCCACCCTCCACCACAGGGCCCGATGTTTGCACCTGACATCAGTATTGCTTGCTCCGGGGTCCCAGCTTTGCCGTGCACGGAAAAGTCGACAGCCAAAGCGGAGGGCCAGGCTCTTTACCCGCCCTCTCCAGCGCCTCTGGTGAGAACAGCCCTTCTGGCCGAAGGCTCGCTCCACCCGATCCTCGCATTCTCCTTGGCTTCCGAATTCGCCTAGCTCAGCACCCCCGTGTGACCTACAGGTGGAAGGGTGTGGGGGACGCGGAAGGAGGGGGTCAGTCTGGGACGGGGCCCAGGGGATTGGGTGTCGTTGTTCGGGCACCAGGAGACCGGCGTCTACCCCGCCAGCGCTGGCTATAATTAGCCGAGTGGGGCCACTGACCCACCGGGATGCGGGCGAGTTCCCTCTGCCACGCGTCCCCAGCCGAGCGGGCGCTGGAGTGAGAGGGCAAGCGGACCGCCGGCGTCTCCCGAAGGTGACTAAAAGGATGGGGACAAGCCGGGAGGGGTGCGGTCCTGGTCTCTGGATCTTTCCTTACTTCTTGCACGCGTCGCTGCGCCGCGGGAACCCCCTAGTTGCACCGCAGAGCCCAGATCCTCCAGTCTCGGGATGTCGCCGAGAGGTGGGAGGAGGGTGTTGCAGCAGGGGGAGAGGCTGACATTTCGACGGGCTTCGGCCTCTCTGGGCCAGCTGCGACGCCCGGTCTCTCGCCTCTGCTCACCTGCAGCTGTCCAGCATGAGCGTCTCAGACAGCCCACGCCGTCCCGCGGACCTGGAGAGCGGCTCTCTTCCGGCCCAGAAGGACTGCCTTGGACTCCCGTTGCCCGCCCCGAGAGCCCCCTCCTGGCCTCCCTCCCCAGACGAGGATCCCAGTTTGCCTTCCTTTCCTCTGGAAGAGCCTGGCCCCAGGCCCATGGGCCCAGGGAACCTTCCCTCTCCAGCCCTGTCCCTAGAGGAAGAAGAGGACGGGGACGACGAGGATGCGGCGGAGCCCGAGGGACTGCGCAGCGAGGAGCACCCGAGCCAGTTTTTTGCCGAGGCGCAGCGGCTGCGGGAGCAGAGGCTGTTGCTGGACGAAGAGGTGTCAGTCGCGGGGCGGGTATACGGGGTGCATCGGGTGATCCTGGCCGCGGTCAGCAGCCTCTTCCGAGGCAGGCTGCTGGAGGGCGGAGGTCCGCGGCCCCCCTTCCGCCTCGATGCGTCCCCGAGGGGCTGGGAGGCCGTGCTGACCTTTGCCTACGAGGGGGTGCTGGGCGCCGCCCCGCTGGGGGATGTGCTGGCCGCAGCCGAGGCTCTGGGGGCGCCCCGGGTGAGGGCCGCTGCCCAGCGGAGATGCGAGGCGGCTGAGAACAACAGGGAAGATGAAAAGCAGCTCAGACAGGCGGAGGAGCTGAGGGAGAACCTGCGCGAAATTGAGCTCCTGTACCGAGAGGGCGTCGGGTGTGACCTGAGGCTGGAGGCAGGCGACTGCCAACTGTGGGGTGAGGGCCTGTGGGGTATTAAATTACTGCAGGTGCAGACGCAACTGGAATGATGTGTGCACGCAGCAGGTGGCTTTATCCCCACCATGATGGTTTTGATCCCTGCTGTAGTCAGAATTTCCCTGGAGTGGCCTTTGGTGCCTCTCCTGCCCGACGACGACGGAGAGCTGGGCATGCGCAGTTGAGTTGTTTTCCTAGGAGCACGAGAGATTTACACTGACCCTCCAGGCTCTGGCTTTTTTTGTGCCCAGTGAGAAGGAATTCCCAGCCAGCTGGCTAGAGCCGAGTGTACAATCCATGACAGTTGGACAGGCAGAAAGTGACTGACAAACAGAGATCCACCGAAGCCCATCTTGGCATTTTCCATCCAGGATACAGAAAAAGCCAGAACATGGTGGAAAACTCAGTGTGTCCTGTGCTTCTACCCACGTGTGCTTGACACCATGGCAAACTTTGGCGTCTTGCAGCTAATGAGCAATGTCTGGTGCTGTTTAAGGGTACTGTGACATGGCAATTTGAAGTTAACTGCTCATCACCAGGGAATCTAAGTAGGGTTGCATAACCTGAGTATTATTCAGATTCTACTAACATTTAGTGAGGTACTAGGTGCCAGGAATTTCTACATATGACTCAGCGACTACACGTGACTCCCATGACTCAATTCTCACTGAAAGCTAGTAAGATCCATATTATCATCTCTAGGTGCCGATAAGAAACATTAAATTCAGAGACATGACTGAAGAGAACCAGGACACCGGCCCACATCCACTGGTACAGTGAGCTTCCACTAGATCAGGCATTGCCTGCCACCTATGCTGTTACACCAGACACTACATGACTTGGAAAATGCAGTCAGAATGTGGCCACATAAAAGTTTCCAATTACAAGGGATTAGTTTAGAGATTATCTAGTTCAGCTCTTACACTTTGCTGATGAAGAAATCAGACTCCAAGACATGACCAAAGTCACACAGCTACAGCTCACCAGAGGAATGACTGGGAGCCAAAGTGCTTCGGGGAGTCCCAGAAGAAAAATGGCCCCAAAAGTCTTTATTTTCATTTCTGATAGCACCAGATGGAGAAGTGCTTGGAATTTTCATAATTATAAATTCTGACTAGAGGTTGGAATTCAAACATACTTGCATTACTGCTTTTATTTCCCTAAGAAGCATTCCAACTTAATGGTTGGGAACCTGTCACTTAAAGTCCTAGGGGATAGTGATGAGTAAGAGGTAATATAAGTGCTTATCAACCCTTTCATGGCTGGCTCTGAGCTATAGATTGATCATATGGAAACTGAAGTGACTTAGCTTGTTTCAAGAATCTAGATTTTCTCAGACAATATATATTTGAAAGCTATCATTGATGTTTACTACTTGGAAAGCACCAAGCTACTACCTGCTATTTTAAAAAAAGAAAAGAAAAGTTATATCAACATCACTTTCCCTTTGGGGAGGGCAAACATACCAGAATTGGTCAAGGCAGCCTAGAGTGCAGAAACCTTCCTGGGAACCTGGCCCCTCTGTGACCTGCCTGAAAAGACTTGAAGCAACATTTTTCCCATTTTTTGTTTTTTTTTTTTTGAGTTGAAGTCTCACTCTGTTGCCCAGACTGGAGTGCAGTGGCCGCTCCCGGCCACCGCAGCCTCGACCTGCTGGGCTCCGGCAATCCTTCCACCTCTGCCTTCCGAGTAGCTGGAATTACAGGCATGCGCTACCACGCCCAGCTGATTTTTTGATTTATTGTAGAGATGAGG